ACAATCAAAAGCACCTTATGAGTAGTGGGAGGGAAAAAGGATTTTGGTAGCAAAGAAGGCAAGGGGGAAAGACTTTTGGCAGCAAGGGAAGTGGGGGAGAGGAGGAGCAAGAAAGAGGACGGAAAGCTTAGGGGGAGGAGGGGGAGGGAACTGTGGATCCCCAAGGTCTCTGTGGATCACACTTTGAGAACCACTTTTCTAGTGTGTATATACTCCAGCCATGTGAGAGAAATGTAAACTGTCACTTGGCATGACTACACCTATAATTGGTTATAACTGTAATAATAATTATAGTCTAATGAATTAGCCTATGTCTGAGGAAAATGGTTTCAAGACCTATGGACTACATCTAAGAACACAGGTTGAGTATTTCTTATCTGAAATGCTTGGAGCCAAAAGTACTTTGGATTTAGGATTGTTTTGAAAATTTGAAACAACAACAACAATTTATTTATACCCTGCCTCATCTCCCAAAAAGGGACTCAGAGCGGCTTGCAATCATAAAATGAAACATAGTCAATAATATAAACAAGGTAGATAGCATATCAAAATTAAAACAACCCCCACCCCCCACCCCCCCACAAAAATAAAAAGATCAGTAAACAATTACTCCAAGGCCAAGATTAGCCGCGAGAGGAGCTCTGGAAGGCGTCGCTATCAGGGGATTGGAGATAAGAGCTAGGCCACTCTTGTCTCTCTCCCTCCCTCCTTTTGGGGAACCTCTTCTCAGAGAGAGAGAGATACAGAGAGAGGAACCATCCTCTTCCTCCTCCTTTGGGCTTCCTCCGACCCGCCTTTCCCGGCCATACGGATGGGACCTCCTTGCCTGCTGCAGGCACGTGCTTGAGAACTGCCACAATTGCAACAACTCACAAGGATTAAACAAGCTCTTCATGTCCCAGGTCTGGCTATCAAATTTTCTGGTCTGTCCTGATATTTCTCCAGTGACTGTTCCTTCACCCTTCTGGCCCTTCTTCCAAAGGATATAAAATGTACCAGAACTTAGCTCTTGCTCCCAACCCTGGCCAGTCGACATACTCCCATGAGTAAACAATTATATATTAAAAACAGTTTAAACATATTAAAGTCCCAGCCATTGCTCTGTTAAAGATAAGCCATGGAATCCAATTGATAGTTATTAGGAATTTTTACATTTTTGCCATTGTCAAAAGCCTGTTTAAAAAACCAAGTTTTCAATTCCTTCCTAAAAGTCATTAGTGTGATCATGTATGTAAATACCTGTATTTACATATATGTACACATTGAGTTCAAGCAATTTTATTGATTAGTCCTTAGGGCATTTCACAATACCAAACCAAACAACAACAAGGCTTGATAAGACTTGATCACACTCTATGTAGTAAGTTAAAATAAGACACTAATTTATACAGTAAATAAATATAAAACTGAATATATACCTCATATTTCCTTATCACCCCTACAATTTTCTCTGATCAGCCCCACATATGTGGTTCTCAAGCGTATATGTTTTGTTTAATTACAGAGCTGTTTTATATGTTATTTTTGGGCCTTAGCCACACATAAAATATGTTGTTCTGATATGAGATTCCCAATACATTGTCCATTTGATATATGACCCAAGCTAGAAGTCTCTCACCTTGTGATACAATTTACAATCAAATAATATGTGTGCTGTATTTCAGGTGCTCTGCAGATACAATTCCATTCATTATTAGGGATGTTGTTAAATCTCCCATATCTGACCATTGTTTTGTGTTTCGTGTATATATTATATAGTTTGTTATGTGGAGAATTTTGGATTTTGGAGTATTTCAGATTTAGGAATTCAAGATAAGGGATGCTTAATCAATATTTGATCTCGAGTCAAATTTCACCACTGAATCAAATAGGACACCTCTATTTAGTCAATTTCACAATACAATGCAGTGAGTTCCATCACCTGGCTCAAAAACTTCCTGTCTTGTTCACTATATGTGACACTCTACCATTCGACAATTATGAACAAAAATGATTCAACAAGTTCCTAAAACCAGGGCTAAAGGAATTATTCTTAAGTTACTTCTGAGAATAGATAGTAAAGATCCAGTGTGCAAGTTCTACCAATTTGAGCTAATCAGAAAATCTCATCTAGCCAGTTTCATATCTTGGCCAGAAAAGTCCCCTGCTTGATTTCTCTGCGTCTTAGATACATTCTATTTAGATACAGATTGCACCCAAAATCTGTAATGCTCCAGTAATTTGAAACTTCGATCCAGCAGTTAGAAATACTGGATTAAAGAAAAGAAACATGAAATGTTACCAAGGGAACCCTGCCACATGCACAATGGAGGACCTCCTTGCGGCAACACCAGAAGCACTCCAAGTGGCCAGATACTGGTCAAAGGACATTTAATCAACTACCAACCTTGCAAACTCTGTGTCTTTTGTATGTTTGTTTGTTTGTTCTGTCAAAAATGTAATACAACTGTTCGGTTGCCTGACACGATAAATAAATAACCAAGGGAATAGGGGCATAGCAAATTGAAAAGTTCACTTATGTGGATGATCTTCAATGTCCCACTCTGCAGTGCTAGAAAAACAGTGGCATTTTTGTTTAGGGGGGAATAATTTTTATTTGGAGAGAAAATGCCCTGACTTCACTCTTCCCATTCTGTTTCTGCAAGGCAGAAAATGGCTCTGAAAGGGGGAAAATGTATGGTAAACAATGGAGAAAAGAAGGGGCATATCAACATCAACTGGACTCGTGCTGAAACTGAATGAAAGAGGCACACTGAAAAAATGCTTATAACACCAAAAGTCTTCAGGAATTGAGTTCAAGTGGCTGAGTGTTTCCACTGTCACTCTACCCCCTTTCTCACTAACACCTCCTCTAACTCCATCATCCAGGAAGCATACTACATACAATATGTGTGCAGACACATATGCACACACAGAGAAGAATAAATAACAAATCACAAAACTATACAATACAATTGCAAAGTCAGTCATCCAGATAAAATATAAATAAATACAACAAAAATTCAATATAATCCAAAGCAAACTGACAATACATGTAATTAAAATATACAAGATTACAAAACATTAAACTAAACTCCCCGAAGCTTTGGAAAACAAAAAAGCTTTCGAATGAGATTTAAAAACCGTGAGGGAAGGAGCTGTCTGCAAATGCTAAGTGAGACAATTTCAAGCAAATGGGGCAGTGAGTGGGTAAGGATGCCTAGCCAATGGAGAAAAAACTCTTGGTTGGGTGAGGAGCCTAGAATTCCTGGAACTCAGATCATGAGCAGGCTAGTAAAGGAAAGTAAGCATTGAAAGATGGGAGTGGGATTGTGTAGGGTTTTTAATGTCAGCACAAGAAGTTTAAGCTGATTCCTAGAGGGAATGGGTAACCAATGAAGAGATATCAAAAGTGTGATAACATGATCAAAACAACAGACCAAAAGATAATCATAGCAGCAGAAAGTTGAATGGGAACCAGAAAATGATGATGAGATAATGGAAGACCAGTCAAAAAAAAGATTACAATAATCAAGGCACGAAATGACTATGGCATGAACTAAGATCTTTGCAGAGAAAGAAGAAAGACAAGGTTTTATTTTGGCAATGTTATAAAGGAAAAAAAATGGATATATACTTTGCTATAGCTTAAATATGATGAGTAAAAGACATAGAGTAAAAAAATAAAAACAAGACTCTGTGATTCCATTACAAGATAAATGGGAACATTATTAATGGTGATGGCTAATGTATGTTGTAAAGAAGGTTTTGTAGGAAAATGGAGTAGTTCAATCTTTGCCATATTGGGTTATTGTAGGCTTTTTCAGGCTATATGGCCATGTTATAGAGGCATTCTCTCCTGACGTTTCATCAGCATCTATGGCAAGCATCCTCAGAGGTTGTGAGGACCTCACAACCTCTGAGGATGCTTGCCATAGATGCAGGTGAAACGTCAGGAGAGAATGCTTCTAGAACATGGCCATATAGCCCGAAAAACCTACAACAACCCAGTGATTCCAGCCATGAAAGCCTTCGACAATACTTTGCCATATTATGTTTTATGTGGTGATGAAACATCCATGTTGAGTTAGCTGAAAGATGCTACAATGCAATATTTAAAATCAGAAGAAAGTTCTGGAATGGGAAATATAGCTGAGTATCATCAGCATACAGCTAATATCAAACACCATATAAACCCATAATATTACCTAAATATTGTGTATGAAGGGAAAATAATAAACAAACAAGAACAGAGCCCTGTGGAACACTAACTGAAAAGGGAAAATAAGATATTGGACCTCCAGTTACCACATTAAATGAATGACTTGAGAGATAAGATATAAATCAATCGAGGACTGAATCAGTTAGGCTTTTACCAAACATTAGAAGCTCCCTAACAATGAATTGAAATGCTCATAATTGCAGGACATTGTTGTTAAGTCACTTCAAAGCAGTGTTCAACTCATTTCAGGCTGTCCCTTTTCAGTAAATGGGGAACTCCTGTTTTTAGGCAGCAGAAAGTGTTTTGAAGTGGTGTGACAGTCCGAAGAACTTTTGCAGTGAGTTTAGGATACACACATATTTTTGTGGATGTGTTGTGGGCATCTTTCAACTGCTTCACTTCTTTTCCCCAAGATTTGGGTGATTCTACTTCCAGCAAGAAGCCTGAGAGGACTTCTGACTGGAAAGCCGTAACTTCCTATTTGTGCTCTGTTTGCTTTCCTTTAAAAAAATCAAGTAATGTTGCAGTTTTGCAAGTAATTCCAGTCACTGATAAGGGATTTCACTTCTTGATCAAGCATTTCCTTAAAGTTTGCAAGACTTCCTGTGTCAGTTTTGCAAATGTTTCAGCTTCTACATGCCCTGGCATCGCACACAAGGTTTGGTAATCATAAGTACACCTTCCCATTGCAGAATACACAAAATAGAAAAATGAATCTTTTTTATTAATATTCTAAATGTTTGTAGGGGCAATCCCTATGCACTTTGAAAATGGAAAAGTAATGCAACAGTGAACTCACAGAGAGATGAAGTTGTGGTCTCACAAGATTGTGAACTCTCAGAATTGTGCAATGCTTCTGTGAAAATAGATAAAAAGAGGGGGCATCGGTGAAGAGAGGTAATGCACAAGTTGGGAGGAATATATGTCTGAGCTGCTACAGTGAGCGAAAATCACTTTCAGCATTCTGAGTGTCTACAGCATTTCAGGTTCTCATCCCATGAGTGGGAAAACGGAGGGAGCTGTCTTACCTCGTTCCCTCCGCTTTACTCATCTTCTGGGATGGCCAGCCACTGCTCTTGCTTACTGTTCCTTTTCCTATCTTTCCCCTTCTCTCTGATGCTGGGAATCGGATAACACCCGACTTCTGAAGATGGCTGCTAAGTTCTGTTTCCATGTGCTGTGCTACTGAATCCCATCAGAAGTATTCTTACTCCGTGTGACTCTGTTTCCAAAGTGGAAATGGAGCACCGGTCCTGAACCGGTGCTTGGCAGCTATGATGGTCTGGATGAGGGTGAACAAACTGAAACTGAATCCAGCAAGACAGTTGTAAGGGTAAAAACACAGGTTCACAGTTGTAAGGCTGAAAACACAGGTTCACAGCTTGGAAGTGATCCTGGATTCATGGCTGAGCCTGGAACCCCAGGTTTTGGCAGTGGCCAGGGAAACATTCGCACAATTAAAACTTGTGCGCCTGTACCTTGGGAAGTCAGATTTGGCCACGGTGGTCCACACTCTTGTTACACAGAGAATAGATTACTGCAATGTGCTCTATGTGAGGTTGCCTTTGAAGACTGTTGGGAAGCTTCAAATGGTCCAATGGGCAGCAGCCACACTGCTCACTGGAGCGGCATAGAGAGAGAGGACATTCCTCCTGTTGTGTCAGCTCTGCTGGATGCCAGTCTGCTACTGAGAACAATTCAAAGTGCTGGCTTTAGCCTATAAAGCTCTAAGCCGTGGTCCTGAACCTGTGGGTCCCCAGGTGTTTTGGCCTACAACTCCCAGAAATCCCAGCCAGCTTACCAGCTGTTCAGATTTCTAGTTGAAGGCCAAAACATCTGGCAACCCACAGACTGAGAACCACTGTTCTATACAGTTCTGGTCCAGTTTACCGGTCCAAACGTATCTCCCTCTATGACCCACCTCAGAGGTTAAGATCGTCGGGGGAGGTTCTGCTCTCAGTCCCACTCCCTTCGCAAGCGCAATTGATGGGGACAGGGACTTCTCAGTGGTGGCCCCTCATCTGTGGAACTCCCTCCCCAGTCAAATTAGATATGTCTCATCCCTCCTGGCCTTCATAAAACACTGAAATCTTGGCTATGGGCATAACGCAATATGAGACTACAAATTAATATAATGACGACTTGGACCAGCCCTGGAATACGATTTGGATCATGTGATTTTAATTGATGTTTTAATGATATGCTTTTAATTAGTTTGGTTTTAACATTTTTGTTTATTTACCAATGTATTAATATATGGCATTGAATTGTTGTCTTTGTAAGGCTGCTCTGAGTCACCTTCGAGGTTGAGAAGGGTGGGATACAAATGAGCTAAATAAAGAAATAAATAATGTAGTCTACCTGGTGAGGTCGTCAGTTCTCAGCAAGATGGGTTTTGCAATGCCAGAACCCATTTTGAGGTCCGTGTGGCAAAGTCAAGAAGGAAATGTATCAAGATCATGATAAGTTGTGTCAAAAGCTACTTAGGTTTTGCCTAGGGTTGTGACTAGTTGTGGGGCAAACAAGAAGACAAGGGTACATTTCTTGAGCATCATGGAGTTATTTCAGCAAATGGTTACTCTCTTCACAGAAGCCGTCCCCTTCCACTTTCCATGCCAAAAATGACTAATGTGCCAAAAGTCAGAAGAATGCTATGAACCTAATTGAAGTTGAGCCAGGCCTTGGTCTGAAATCCAAGAATTAATAACAGAATGCCTTTGAATCACTGCACACCTGCAAGAAGTCCACCCCATATATGAGATTACAGGCAGGAGAGAATTTTCTTTGTTTTACTAACATTGATTGTGTCTTCTGTTTTATGGGTTTTTTTCTCATTGTCTGCTCCTTATAAATTGGCAAAAGGAAAGGGGTTCTTTACAGTTCAGGTGCTGCTTACAGTTAAGAACAGTGCAGCTATGTCTGTAACAATAATATTTTTTTTAAAAAAAGTAAGTGCAATTATTTTCTCAATAAACTGTATCCATTATACTTTTATGCCAAGCCAAGTTAAACATGGCACATTTTTTTTTTGCTAAAGGTAGAAAGTGCATTTCAGTCCACAAAGAGTGGTAATACAAGTTGAGCATCCCTTATCCAGAATGGTTGAGACCAGAAGTGTTTTGGATTTCAGATATTTTGGGATTTTGGAATGCATGCATTTGCATATTCATTCATTACAAAATATTTTGGAGACCATATCAAGGTCGAAACACAAGATTCATTCATGTTTCATACACCTCTTATATACACAGAATAGAGGCAATTTTATACACAACATTTTACATTATTTTGAGCATGAAATCAGGTTTGTATACATTGAACTATCAAAAATAAAAGGTGTCAATATCTCAGCCACTCATGCGAACAATTTCAGGTATTAGAGGATTTTTTGAATTCCAGATAAGGAATACCCTACTTGATTGTTTTGGTTTGTTCATGTTTGTTGGCAACTTTCATTTTTTTCTTTACAATCCATCAGAAAATTAGTATTGGTTTTGGAAGTTTTTTCACCATGAACACTACATTGCTGTTGATTACCAGCTACATGGAGGCAAAATCCTGTCATAAGCTACTTAGAATAGATAGCACTACAATCCTATGAGCCAAGGATCTTGTTCTGAGGATCATGAGAATTATTAGATATCTTCCTGTGGGATCTCAGTACTTACAATGAGAGGACTTTTCCTCCAAAAAAGAGAGGGGAAAACATGAAACATGGCTCAGTTGACCATACCCCCCTCCCAGCCCTTAACATCAAGACCGTGCAGGGCTTTGGATGAAAGAATTTAAAGAGTTGGATAAATCCCACCAACCCCCAAGATTGCTCCTTATTTCTGACTATGCAAATGAAATGTTTTCCAAATAATCCCTATGAATATAGTCATGAAATAGATTTAGGATAAACTAATACAAGTGATACTTTTTCTTTACAGTTCATGGGAACTCCTCAACTAATAGTACATTCCCTTTATGTACCTCTAGATAGGTTGCCAAGGAAGGTGATAAGTGTAAAATCTTAGAATCCTATAAACCTGTTTACTTTGTATTATTTGTACAGGATACTCTTGCTGGGATACATACAATGATCACTCATTTAACACAGTCACCCAAGTGCCAGCTAAGCAAGCAAACTGAAAGTGGGAAAATACACATTTAAACACACACATGCACTTCATGTTTACTTTCAAAATGACTGCAATATGCAGCTACGAAATTGATTATTTTTTCTTTCTTTCTGACTATATGAGTTTTAAATGAAACTAAGGTTGCATCTCCACGGTAGAACTAATTCAGTTTGGTACCATTTTAACTGTTAGGACTCAATGCTATGGAATCATGGGAGCCAGGCCCGTAGCCAGGATTTCATTTTGGGGGGGGGGGGGGGTTTTTCAGGGGGGTTTCGGGGGGGCTGAGTTTCAGGGGGGCTGAGTCTGAGTGAAAGAGGGTCTAGCCTAGCAAACCTTTTGTATCATTACCCCAATCCCCCCATGCATATGGGATGAGTATGGTGATCAGATCATGATATGAATAAACATAACAGTTTAAATAATGCACCAGTAAGGCCTTTTCGCGAACCACCATGAGAATTTGGGGGGGGGGTGAAGCCCCTCAAGCCCCCCCCCCCCCCCGGCTACATGCCTGATGGGAGCTAATATTTTTCCAGATCTTTGGCCTTCTCTGCTAAAGAGTGGTATACCTCACCAAACTAGAACTCCAATGATTGTTGCATCGAGTCATAGTGCTTTAAGTGGTGTCAAAGTGTGCAATTTTATAGTACAGAACCAGCCATAGTCAAAGTTTTCAAATGTAATTCTCTACTTAAGAAATGCTTGACAGTCCCAATTCCACAGATGTCATATGGTGCTTATTCACAGTCCCACACTAAATATCTCAAAATTTTAATTAAAACCAATTTATTGTATAAAGTTCAAGTGAACATACAACCATTTATTGTGGACGTTCAGGAAAAGTTCAAAAGACAATAGAATAAAATAAACACCAAATTAAATCACCATCACATTAGCTGAGGTAGGGCTCCACAGCCACCTACAGACTCGCAAGAATTCTGATCCTGGAAGACTATCCTACTCGGCCAACGAGGGATCGCCTAAGAAGAAGAAAGCTGAGGTAGTATCTGCTTGAAACAGGGCCACTCATAAAGAGGAAGCTACAAAGTTCCCTGCTATCCCTGCTTTTTCCCTTCAGCTCAAAATTCATCATGTTCTTCACCTCAACTTATTCCAGTTCAGAGTTCATTTATTTATAAATAAAACTATTTATATCCCACCCTATATCGCAAGACCTCAAGGTAACTTATAATGGAATCAATTTAGGACAATAAATGACAATACAAATAATTTTAAAAGATGAAAATATACTGCAACTTGTATCAGTTAAGGTTAGATAATTTAAAGTAGCTAAAACTTTATAAAACGAGGTATGGTATCCAATGGAGTCCCAGTGGCAAAATGGGTGCCACCCATTGTGCCACTGGGGACCGGGGTGAGTTACCATCTGGGGACTGGGATGAGTTCCCATCTGTCAGCTCCAGCGTTTTATTGGGACATGAGAGAAGCCTCCCACAGGTTGGTAAAACATCTGGACGTCCCCTGGACGTCCCCCTTGCAGACAGCCAATTCTCTCACACCAGAAGCGACCTGCAATTTCTCAAGTCACTCCTGACACACACACAAAAATTGTATCCAATAACTTCTGGAAATGAAATATATGTACTGATGCACCAACTTAATACAACTTTGTGATGGAAGAGGATCAGTATAAATCAGACTTTTGAAATTCTGGGACATTTTTGTCAGGAATCATGTTGCCTTGCTTTTGTTTAACCTTTCTACACTACCATGGGACATTTTAGTCCCACAGAGCTGTTTTTGTTTCAGCATCTACACAGAATTAGATCTACAAGATACTAATTATACAATAAAATCAAGTTAGAACATTGTTTTTCCCCTAATGTTTCGATGCCAATGTACTAGCATAAAAAATGGAACACTTTTAAGCAAACCATGTGCTTTTGTTGTTGGTGGGTTGCCATTATTTGGAAGAGATTTTAATTTCTTCCACTGGGAGAGGGCACAGCTTTGAGGCCAGGAAACACCCCTGCAATATAGGAAGTATGTGTTTTATTTTATCCAGTTTTTATAGTTTCTGTATTTTAATATTTGTGTGAGAAATACTTGATGTCAATACTTGACAGCATTTCGCAATTATTATAGGACTGAAAACATATCTCATAATTTACAAAGTGCAAGGTTATTTAAATCCCATTAGTTTATTTAAATATTTGTTTATTGCGACTCAGCCTACTAGAGCTCCCCAAATAAAGTAAAAAGATTTTCAAATACTTTAATTTTTAAACAAACAAAAGTTCCTTTAAAATCAGGGTTTTTTTAATTAAAAAATTAAACCCACATAATTAAAATGGTATCAAATCTCAAGATTGATTGTAAGCATCAGGCTTTCCACACAAAGTAAAGACAAACCTTTAAAAAAGAAGACATATACAATTGTGGCATGGAAATGTGGAGAGATGTGTCACCAATAAGAGCCCACAACAGAACAGAAATGCTTCAACGTCTCCAAAAAGCCATAAACAAAACTCCAAAAGCAATGCATACACTACAGCCATCAAGAAGTAGATGGTTGCAGTGATGGAAATTTCTGGAAGTCTCTGTTGTCAGCCTAAGCATTTTCATTAAAAAAATAGTATTACAAACCTAGCTGAATTAACTCACACGATCACGGATGCTGCAATTTCCAGATCAGGATATGGTTCCTGATGTTTTCACAACGTTCTTCTTTCATCATTGTATAGTTCCTAAGTCAAGCACAGGGCAGCACAGCTGAAGCGCTGTTTACTGAAGAGTAGGTAAAGCAGGGCCTCCGAAGGTAAACATTATTGCTTTCTCCCAAGGATATGGTTTGAAACTATACATCGTGAAACTATATTTCAAAGATGTTTCCACTGTGAAAGAATGAGCGTTGGGCATTTTGGACCTCATGTAAACTATGGTTAGCAAAAGACAATAAGTGAAGGCAGCAAGATTGCTCAAGCACATGAAGAGAGGAGGGTGCACATAACTCTTTTGGCCATTATGTATGAATGGTAGTCATGAGTGTTTCCATCAATGTTCTTCTGCTGATGGGACATTTTCTGACCTAATAAGGCTTTTGTGAACAGAAATAAACAGAAGCAATCCTCTATGCGCTCACTGCTTTCAAACTGTGCCCAGATAAAATAGTCTGGCTAGCCTTTGTGACAGTCCTCCAGGGTTGAAAATGCTGTTCTTGAACTGCAGGTCAGTAAATGGAAAAACAAGTGCCATTCAGGATTTGATCCTGGATGAGCAGACTGACCTGGCCTGTGATATAGAGACCCGGGTTGATGAGAAGGGGTGTAATCTCTCTTAGTTCTGTTGCCAGGTTTTTCTGTGAAAGCATCAGGAGAGATGTGGAGGGCAGGAAGGTGGTGTTGCAGTGGTCTATTGTGATTCCATCTTTCTTACTAGGTATCTCAACCCACTGTCTGCAGAGTTTAAGGGCACATACTTTAAGGTGGGTAGCCAGGACAGAATATAGATCCAGCTGGTATCCCACTCTTTTGTTGCTCATTTGTTCAGTCACTTCTGACTCTTTGTGACCTCATGAACCAGCCCATGCCAGAGCTCCCTGTCGGCCGTCACCACCCTCAGCTCCTGCAAGGTCAAGCCAGTCAATTCAAGGATGCCATCCATCCATCTTGCCCTGGATCGGCCCCTCTTCCTTTTTACTTCCATTTTCCCTAGCATAATTGTCTTATCTAAGCTTTCCTGTCTTCTCATTATGTGGCCAAAATATTTCATCTTTGCCTCTAATATCGCTCCCTCCAATGAGCAGTCAGGCTTTATTTCCTGAAGTAAGGACTGGCTGGATCTTCTCGTGGTCCAACCCTGCTCCCTCACCTGCTCCACTCACCCTGCTACTAAAAAGTCTCCTTTCCTGAACTAGCTGGGGTAGTCTTGGAGCTGGTTTTGGAGTGGCTGGAAACTTTTGGAGTGGCTCAGGATTTGCTATAACATCAAACTCAAAATATTATCTGAATTTAAACTATTTGGACAGAAATGGAAAAGAATGGCACAGGATCACAAATGTTGACAAATGGTAGATTCGCATGAAGCCCAAAGATTGGATCAACAAGAAATCGGATAAAGGAATTACAACTATGGCACCCCACTCAATACTAGACACACTTTGGACCTTGTTTTCTGTGTGGGATGGGAGATGGTCCACCTAAGGAGGTGTGGAGGACTGAGTTTTGAATATTTGCTTATTCACTGATTTTATTAATATGTTCTATCTAGGTATCGCTATGTCTTCAAGTGTAAGTCTGACAGAAGCTGACCATAGTCATGTTGGAGGGCCTAGAGATTCCTGGAGAGAACAGATAACACCTTTTTGGGTTATCTAGGTCCCTCAGTGGGATTCTACAAAGTAGAATCCACAACATGCGAGTGTGGAGAAGAGCAAACCACAGACCACCTACTGCAATGCAACCTGAGCCTTGCCACATGCACAATGGAGGACCTTCTGGCAGCAACACCAGAGGCACTGCAAGTGGCCAGCCTCTGGTCAAAGAACATTTAATAGAATACCAATATCTGCAAACTTTGTGTTTTGTTTGTTTGTCTGTTTGTTTGTTTTTAATGCAATACAACCATTTTGGTTCGCTCCTGATACGATAAATAAAAAAATAGTGTGATTCTATGGTCAACCTTGTTCTGGGGATATCAAGATCCCTAGGGAGATGTTCTCTTAGGAAACAAACAGGTTTTTTTAAATTTGTAGTTTTAAAGTTTTGCAAAACTCTTGTTCCGCTAACCCCAGGGAATGTGGAGGGCTGACTGTAAAAAATGTGCATGCACTTTAATAGTATTTGCCTACTTATCAACATATCATGCTTTACTGGTTCATATTTGTTTCCAAAATGTCACTCAAAGTGGAAAACAACAACACCGAATAGCATATCTAAATAAATCTGATTGTATTGCACAGCAGTCTGTATCCACCATATCTGTCAGTTCAATGTATGCTGGAAGCATTCATATGACCTACGTAACTTTATTGTAGTATTTCCCACCCATATTCCCCAATACCAAGCAGGATTATTTTCCAATGTAACTTTTTATGGCATGTGAAATATGTGCTACATGCCTCAATATGTCTCATTAATTTAAAATAAACATTTAAAGTACTTTCAATCATCCTGATTCAAAGCTCAAGGGCATCAATGAGCAGAATTCCCGTGTCTGCCTGTTCACTACAGAAAATGAACACAGTAGCCCTCTCCAAGTTCCTCCTTTGGCAAAGAGTTGAATTAGGGAAAAGGCAAATTAGCTCTTCCCTTTTTCCCTTTTGAGATATTATTTTATTGTAATAACAGTTTCATTTTAATGGTGTAGTGTAAAGAATACTCACAACTTCTGTCACCCTCGGCAAGACAAAATGGCACCTAACAGAAAGATACCCCTCGACAAAAATTGGTGATGCTCAATATAACCTTTTTTTGAACTTTGGAACTTAAAAATAACTCACTTGTTTTTCACACAAAAATATTTTCTGCAAGTTTTTCTTTGCATAAATGATTTTTTTCACAAAAAATCCAGATGTGCAAAAAATAATTAAAAAATGAGGAAAAACTCTTGCCTAGTGGGGGAAAGGCTTTGGGGGTTATTAATTCTTGCATGTGAAAATGCAGTAAGCAATATATATATATAACCTTATTTTATTACCTTGTAAACATAATTTTGAGCCTTGAGTTTATGTGTCATGTTTGAAATACCACAAATGAAATAAAACTGAGTTTGTATATTATTTAAATTTTCCCTCCGTCCTTTTTAGGTGGATTTCAAGAAACAAGAAAAGAAAAATGAAAATCAAGAAGCAAAGGAGACTAAGTCATTCAGACTGCATCTTCTACTTACCGTGGTGACTCATAACTTGCCCAGCAGCTTCTAAACTGACATTCTGAAGGTAGTTGTGACAGCGTTCCTTGTGTTCCTCCAAAGAACTGCGTTGTTTGTAGCTTCGTCCACAGTAGTTACATTTGTGAGGTTTACCAACTATGGAAAGAACAGAGGCTTTATGTTAAATTGGTGGGGCTAGCATGCTTGCCAATGGTGTCTCGATATTACAAAAATAGAATAAGAAAACATCTACAAAAACTATTCCATCCTCTAACCTTCGCTCATTTCTTTTTTCTCTAACTCATTGCACTACTCTCCTAGCAGACATTCACCCACACCTTGAAAATAACAGCTGCAAAAATACCCAATGCAGGTGGACAAAGAATACTGAGAAACGTTTTCTGTGCACCGACAGGGAAATGTGCATCTTTTATTCCAAATAATTATGAGAGAGTCCAAGAAAAACACTGAGCAAGAAGGGACAAAGCAAGGGGCGTAGAAAATCTAAGGGAAGCTTAGTTTGATAGAGAGAGAAAAATTACATGTTCGTAATTATCTTTCAAAATAAAGTGTACACAATGATGTCGTCAATTAAGGAAACTCTAGAAAAGTGGGGTATTATACCAAAACTAATATACTAGATATGGCATTGGTTAGCAGTGTGGCTTCATACTCTATATCAGGAGTCCTCAAACTAAGGCTCGGGGGCCGGATACGGCCCTCCAAGGTCATTTACCCGGCCCTCACTCAGGGTCAACCTAAGTCTGAAACGACTTGAAAGTACACAACAACAACAACAACAACAACAATCCTATCTCATCAGCCAAAAGGAGGCCCACACTTCCCACTGAAATACTAATAAGTTTATATTGGTTAAAGTTGTTCTTCATTTAAATTATTGTTTTTAAGTGTTCTTGTTTTTTTGCATTACAAATACGATATGTGCAGTGTGCATAGGAATTCATGTGGTTTTTTTTTCCAAATTATAATCCAGCCTTCCAACAGTTTGAGGGACTGTGACCTGGCACTCTGTTTAAAAAGTTTGAGGACCCCTGCTCTATATGAACATGGCTTAACATCTCACGGTTAATGATGGATTAGCATACACTGCGAGTTCTTTGTTAGAATTTCTTCTACTTGCTGTCCCTTTATGTCATCAAGGTACTGTCCAAACTACACCACAGTAAAAGAAAAAAAAAGACCCACAATGTATTTATGGGAAAAGGTAATCCCATTTGTATGATTCCCACCAAGGCTCTGGATTGAACAGTCAAACGGGAGTGAAAAGTCAATTTCTTCCCATCATTTTAGAAGAGTGTATTTGATGAAAGGAAATAATAATAATAATAATAATAATAATAATAATAATAATCTTTATTTATACCCTGCCACCATCTCCCCAATGGGGACTCGGAGCGGCTTACATGAGGCCAAGCCCAAACAACAAATTACAATAAAATCAATCCAAAAACACAAACAATAAACAACAACATAATTACATAGAACATGTGAAAACATAATAATATAACATTACAAGGCACAATCACAATGACAATGGGTGGGCTACATGTAATTGTTAAAAGAGAGACTGGTTAAAAACCGATTAAAACTCAGGCGAGATAAGAAAGAAACAAATTATTTGCGGAGGAGGGCTCATTATAGTGGTGTTTGTGGAATCAAGCTTTCCCACAAGGGGGGGGGGTGTACTCCAATGACAAAACGTTGATGCACTAGTGTGAGGATGTAAACCTATTCATCAAAAGCGCAGCGGAAAAGCCAGGTTTTAAGGTTCTTTTTAAAGGTTTCTAGGGTAGGGGCTTTCCTAATTTCTCCAGGTAGTGAGTCCCACAGTCGGGGGGAAAGGCTGTACTTTAGAAAAAAGCCTTATATCACAATGGAGTATTGCTCTTCATATCCTTCCATGCAGAGTGACAATATATTGGCTGGCTAGCTAACCATCAAGGTAATCACAAAGGATGGTTGTTGGTTTGTTTAAAGAAAACATATGATGTCTCAATTCTTATGCAATATGCCTTGATTGTTGGGTAGCTGCCAACACAAGTCACTTTTAGTCTCCTTGTGGAAAGAAAAAACTGGGTATAAACATAACAACAACAACAACAACAACAACAACAACACTTTACTCCATCAAAGATAAGATGAACGAAAAGGGCAGGACCATTTTACCACACTGCACCAGAAAATCTTCAAAACGAAAGCCTCCTTTTCAAAGTTAATTGCATTTTTTCTTCCCTTGAATATTTAAAAACAACAACCAGAGATGTAATATCATATTTCTCTTGTGCTTCCTGACATTGCTTCATCATATGATACATTCATGGCAAACTCACTATTTTTCTGCTATTATTGCAATTTTCCTGCCTCATGGGTTAAACTCCTCTGGCCCTTTATATTAGGCCACCACTTTGTCTTGCTTTGCCTTTTGAATTTTGCCAAGATTCGAACCGTCAACCTTTTGGTCAGCAAGTTCAGCAGCTCAGCGGTTTAACCCACTGCATTACCAGAGGGCCCAAACAAACGAGTACTGACATAATAATCCCAAATAAACCCAGATATGAAAACAATATTAGAACCTAACATCAATAGATATGATCGTGTGGTCAGTATCATCAACAGATGATATGCTAATGGAAAGCTGAGATTCTCAAGGAATCTTGGATTCATAGTTCCTTATATCGCTAAACAGCAAATTGCAAAAGTTGGGTCACTATGTGCAGGAGCTTTAGATTACATCACTTCATTTTCATATTTCAATGCAAGATGGTACCCCCTCCCACCCAGCTTCCCCTTAACATCAAGGAAAATGTGGGCTATTTGCCAACGGCTTGAGGGCCACAGTCTGAAAGCAAATCTTGGTTTCTTTGGGGCATCTTGCCAAGATGTTTGTTTGAACTTGCATCTTCCTTGAGAGTATAAAGCTGCCTTTTCGATCTATCCTCATGCCATGAGAAAGTCCCAGCTAAAAGAAATAAAAATTGGGATATTATTAAGGAAACATGAGAGCCTGTTCTTATCAATAAGCCCAGACCTTTTTTTTACAGCTCTGTGAAAAGCAAAGGGAACGTGAGGTCAAAGTCTGACTTCAGGAGCACTGCATTCTCAAATTAAGAATTCATTAATATAGGAAGAACTCTACTAGTTCAAGAAAGATACGTCTAGTTCTGCCCTGTCTTCCTACAGTGAGAAGCCAGCTAAATACATTCAAAATGCCCACATAAAGAAGATGACATGGAAAGTTACTTTTGAAATGTAATTAGTTAAGCCTACAGTCCTAAGAGCTAGGTAAAAGTGTAGTCAATTATTTTTACAAGTAAATACATTCAAGCCTCCATTTATCCGATGCATGAAGAACCAGAGCACTGTCAGAAAAGAGGAATCTGTTGAAAAGTGGAAACCAGGGCTGCTGAAAAATGTATATAAGACACTATCTATCAATTTGAATTGGTGCACTACAGGTATAGAGTCTCACTTATCCAACCTTCGCTCATCCAACATTCTGTATTATCCAACGCAGTCTGCCTTCCGCTCGGATACACAGCTGTTTCAATACACTGTGATGTATTGGTGTTAAATTTGTAAATACAGTAATTACTACATAACTTTACCGTGTATTGAACTGCTTTTTCTGTCGATTTGTTGTAAAACATGAAGTTTTGGTGCTTAATTTGTAAAATCATAACGTAATTTGATGTTTAATAGGCTTTTTCTTAATCCCCCATTATCCAACATTTCCACTTATCAAACATTCTGCCAGCCCATTTATGTTGGATAAGCAAGACTCTACTGTATATGCAAAACTACAGAAAAATTAACAAAAGCTTTAATGTGATGCATGTGATACACTAACACATCTATAGTATCGAAATGGGTATTTTAGTAGTTTTTTTAGGTGATATGGAAAATGATGTTTTATTACTTTATCTATGTGTGTGTAGAATAAAGCAACTAGGCAATATTGACATGAGCACAGAAGCAGCTCTGCAATTTCTTAGGATAACAATATTCAACGTTTCCTTTAAAACAAGGCACTTTCACGAATGCTTCTACTTGTCAGAACTATGAGAACAAAAACAATACTTAAAAATGTCAAACATTCAATGACAAATAGCAAATAAAAATATCCCATGATTCCACTAAGAAGAGTTTAAGGGGAGGTTAAGAGAACTTGTGAGCACAGTGATCTTGAGTACATTGCTACAAAAGAAAGGGATAGAAGAAATATGGTAAAGAGCTGGTGCTCATCCACTCTAGAGCAAGTCCTTCTTTTTCCTCTTTTAGCACAAAAGTAACACAGGACTATTAACCAGATTTTTCTGTCCTTATACATGCCAGAATGTCCCTTATACATGTCAGAAAACAAGATTAGTACAACAGCTTGTTACCACCCTGCAGCACCCTCCTTCCCACCAAGAGCAGCACACTTTGACCCTTCCTTGCCCTACTGCAGTGGTTCTCAACCTGGGGTCCACAAATGTTTTTGGCCTTCAACTCCCAGAAATCCTAACAGCTGGTAAACTGGCTGGGATTTCTGGGAGTTGTAGGCCAAAAACATCTGGGGATCCCAGGTTAAGAACCACTGCCCTACTGTGTTAAATTCAGAATATTTTTGAGATGTTTGAACTGATTTTACTTGTGTGCTGCCCTGAAATCCTGTGTTATATAAATATTTTCAAAATAAATAAAAATGAGTCAAAATGTGATATGCAAATTTTGTTCCCCAAGATTATAGGTAGAATAGAAATGCTTTTTTTTGGGCGGGGGGGGGGGGGGGGGGGGGGGGGGGTGTTGTAATTTAAAAGTTATTCTCAGATGGACCACAGCTCAACATTTGTTAACCATATAAATCTTAGATGGGCAATAGTTGAATGGTGTTGAATGGGCAAACTCTGCTCTCCTTTCTTTGTTTTAAACCTGAGTCAGATGGAATTGAAATCCTTCAAACAAAATGTCCTCCAACAGTAGAACAAAATAAATCCCAAATGGAGAAAAGCCTTTGCAATGGTGAAAAAATATTTTAAAAAATACTAAAATTGCTCACTGCTTCCTTCAAAGGACTGAGATTGATTCCGAATTGAAGTAACCTTGCATTCGATTGTGCTATTATGTAATTCAAATTAATTTTTTTCTTTGTTTTT